TCTATCTACAACAAATATAACCTCAGATTTCATCAACCAATGCAAATATTTAAAAATTCATCACTTATTAGCTCTTTTATTTATTTATTTAAATTATAGGAAACAATTATATATAACATCACTTATCAGCTTTAAACATCAAAACATTCCCAAATTCAAGATATAATGACCATATTCCTTATCTAAATCAGAACCATGGCTACAAAGTCGAGACTAGAAACTTCCACAACTTCCACTTCAGCCCAATTGGTTATTTGAGTTCTTTATAGGTTCAGCCCAAGTCAAAGTCACATGATTTCTAAAGCATTCCCAACCTACAAACAACACAAAGTGTTTTCCCAATAATTTCACTTTTTTCCATTTATTCCAACTAAAAACCCAGAGAGGAGTCCTGCGTTGCTTCATCTTAAGGACAAAAAAGTGATCAATGCCAAAGAATTCCAAGACAAAAGCGATAGCTCAAAACACTAAATCATACAAATGTGGCTATTTAGTATTGAAAGAGTACTAATCTGAAATGAACAACTACAATAAAAGAAACATAAAGGCAGAGCTCAAATTGAATAACTATGAAACTTTTACAAAAAAACACCAATCATTTACAAGAGGAACACCCTCCCAATAATCCAAAATTCAGCACCAGATAGGAACCAAAAGCAAAACCCAAAAATGAAAATTACTTCAAAACGAGACATGAAATGTTCATCCAACAATTGATAATAAGCCTAAACAAAGCTTTGTATGAGACAAAGCTCATGAAGTCACTATGTGTGTATATATATGGAAAAAAAGAGCAAACTGAGTTGTGAGAGATTGGAGGTCGAAATTTAAGTCCACACATTGTAAATAACTTGTCAGGGCAGTTATAGCAAGAGGAAAAAAAAACGCTTTGCAGACCAATAAATTCCAATAAATGAGCTCCAAACTTATATCAATATTCAACGATTAATGAATCTTATAAATTAGACCCACCAAATATCCAGAAAATAAAAAACTATCAATCCATCACAATCTCAACCACCTTGACAGCCTTAATTTAACAGAAAAATCATCTACCTCAACCCCCAATTCAATTCAGAAGCCCTAATTCGACAATCCTAATTTAACAGAAAAAACCCTAAATTCAAAGGAAATGATGCTTACCTTAAACTGATATGAGAGAGAAATCGAGGAGAGGATATGACGTCGCTGATGCTGTCTCGTCGACGTCGTCACAGAAGGAGGAGTGCCTGTGGAAGGAATCAAAATCAAACAGACTGAGAAAAGAGGAGGCAAAGCGGCTCTGTTCAGAGAGAGATGTAAGGAGATAGAAGAAGGAGAATAAGAAGCCTGACTTACCTGAGAGGAGAGGAGATGTGGTCGTCGCCGCTTTCTCGTTGTCACAGAAGGAGGAGAGGAGCTGCCGTGGAAGGAATCGAACTCGAAGAGAAAGAAAAATGAGAAACCCAACCCTAGTCGACTTGAAACATCTCTGATTGAAGGAGAGAGCAATTGTTTTTATTTTTGTCTTTTGTTTTACCTACAGCAACAAGTTAACTGGTAATCAACAATCAACGGTGTGGATTATCTCTCATGCCCCAATTACTCATCCGATGGTTATAATAGTTGGCGCATCAGTGCGCCTGGCGCACTGTAGAATTTTCCTGGCAGGTTATTGTTAAATCTGTACAGTGTGTTGGACTGCAGTCATTAATACCAACACTTTTTTCTTGTTGGCGTTTTTTTTTTCTTCATATTTTGGCCGAATCGACATGTCGTTTTATCAGGGGATCTGACTGTGTCTCACGGGCACAGCATCACATCATTATCATATCACATGTTGTCACATGGCATGGCAATGGGCATGGATTCTCATTTGACAAGAGAGCCCTTGACAAGTGGTATGTTATTGGGTTTGCTGTACAAATACATGTATAAATAATATTTTGCTACGGTCCATCGTGAGTGAGCTCAAGTCAGTGAGTGATTGCTAATGGTAAATCAATTGTGCATGGGCGCAAGTCAGTGAGCGATTCCTGCCGATGGATGCATTGTGGAGGCTCAACTTAGATCCATGGTCAACAATTGGTCCGTCATCCATGCAAGTTTCTCCTTGTTATGAAGAAATGTATATATTCTCCTTGTTATGAAGATAATGTATATATTCAGTTGTGAAATTGTGAATTTGAATCATACATTCACTAAAAAGTTATGTAATAAAATGATTAATATCGGTAGTCTAACAACATTACATGTTAAATTATTTTGAGAACGCATGAAAACTACTCGGGCATTCATATAAATACATAGCACATAACTATCTAGATCCGGCAATATAACCTCTCTTGAGCCTGGGATTTGTGGACAGGAGCCTACAACCAATATCCTATATGCTGATCATTTGCAGTAATTTGCAAAGAGGCATTGAATGAGATTAGCATTTAAGAGTCAAACTAAAATAAAATTAGCATTTGACACTCAGAGAAAAATTTGTCCAAGCAATTGCTCTTGTTGGAGTAAATGGATGGGTCAAATAAAGGCCCGAGGAAAATCAGAATGAATTGTTACTCTGAATTGCAATTACAGGGGAAATCCTAGCCCTATCCTTCACCTACCACTAATTTGTCAATTGAACAACAGATTCATTAGTCATGCTACATGATTACATCTGTCTTCCTTCCATCAGCAAGTCATCCCCTACTTTTCTTTGCTGAATGTCCAGTCTTCCGCTTATGGCGGCTGAAATCTGAGACAAATCGGAAGGTCTGCCCACACCCTGGCTCAGCACATACATAGGGACGAGCACCTGTGTGAACCCTAATGTGCTCAGTCCGAGCCCATGCCCACTTGAATGTCATCTTGCAGCCCTTCCAAGGGCACCGAAGGGGGCGGTCATCCGTGTGAACTCGACGATGTTGCACCAGATACTTGTGAGAGAAGAATTTCTTTCCGCACCCCTTGACTGGACATATGTTTCTTTTGTGGAGGGCAAGCTCTTGTTTCGAGCCTAGACTCATGGTGCACCCATCAATATCACACGAGAATTCTGCTTCCTCTTCCCTCAATTTTGCATCATGTTGGCCAGCCTGAGCCTTCACAGCTGAAACATTCTTTGCCTTTTTCCTAGCCGTTTGTTGCTGCTCTTTTGGTTTGGTTCCAGCGACTTTAATGGGCTTAGGAGCTCTTTTTCTAAGGCGTGTGCTAGGTCCGCCTTCTGCCCCTTCATCAGCATACAAATCAAAGTTGTTCTGCTCAGATTGATTATTTCGGAGCCTAGGTGTCTGTTGCTTCATTTGCTGAGCGGTTTGTTCCTTTCTTAGAGTGCGGGTGCCTTGTTTCACAAGAGGAGCAGTTCCTTGTTTCACTTGCCGAGGGGTTTCTCGTCTCATTTTCTGAAGGGTCTCTTGTTGCGTTTGCTTGCTTCGGAGAATCCTCTTGTGCTGCTGAAGAAAATTATCTGTTTCACCCACAGCTGCATCTTCTCTCTCAATGAATCTGGCCTTCTTGCTTTTAGAAATACTCCCTCGTTCTTGATGAGAACTAGCCTTGTGAAAATTATCTGTTTCACCCTTAGCTGTCTTGCTTCTAAGGACCCTCCCATGCTGCTGACGAGAACTACCCTCAACTGAATCATCTGAAACCACATCTCTTTCCATATGTTTGGCTTGCTTACTTTTAGCACTCCTATGCCGCTGATGAGATTCAACTCCCACTGAATCATCTGAAACATCATTTCCCTCAATATAATTGGCTTGCTCACACCGAAAATTTCTACCATCTGGCTGATGAGAATCATCTTGCATTGAATCATCTGAAAGAGTAAATTCTGTCTCAACAAACTTGGGTTTCTTGGTTGGACCACTCTCAACATATTCGGCTTGCTTGCTCTTAGGAAACCTCCTCTGCTGCTGATGAGAGTTATCATCTACTGAATAATCTGAAACTGCATCTTCTTTCTCCAAACATTTTACTTTCTTCGTTGTCCCGGTCTCTGCAGTCATTTTCCTCTTCCTAGCATATTTTTTAGTCACCAAAGTGTTCTCAGTTTTGCGTGTGCTTTCTGGTTGTCCCTCAAGCTTCTCATCTGGCATTGCCCAAGCATGGAAGCTCCTATGTTCTTCTTCTACTACTTCTTCTTCTTCTTCAGGGTCCCTTTTTGCTAGATAGGGATGAACTTGATTCGACATCCAGACTTTGCCGCACCATTTCCCAGCCACTACCTTTTTCTGCTTGCTAGATCTCCTCCCATAGACATCAATTCTTGTGGGTGAGCTAGCTGGAGAACTACGACCAAATGCATTGTATATAACAGAATTGTATGCCATCTGCTTACTGTAAAGATGAGAACGGCTAAGGCTGGCACTGTAGAAGAGATTGATCCCCAACTTTACAGCCCAGTCCCCATTCCCCGCAATGGCTTCCTCACTATCCAGAGCTGACTGAATCCTCTTCTCATCTTCCTCAGTGGCATCCTTGAACGTCGTTTCATTCCAGAGATAACTTATTCCCAGTTCTTCTGCCATTAATTTTGCTTCATCCTCTATCCTCGGGTAGTCTGCAAATGTTTTTATTGGTAATCAGAGGAATAATTAGAGGATAAATGATAGGCATAAACGGTATTAGTTACTTAATATTTTGAAAGATCCAAGACAAGTAAAAAAGCACAGCTGAAGAACTTCTTGGTGTAAAGAACACTGTAAACAACATGTATCATACGTTTCTCCTTCATGCAATCATTTCATAAAACTAATTCCACCAAGCAAAGGGAATACTATTGACACATCATGGCTGACATATGAAGTCTGTATCATCTTAACATATTAGTGATATAACACCTAGAAAAACCTTTCCATTACTGCAGAAAGGCACCAAATCCCACCTATGTTATGGCGCCTCTACAATCCATGTATCCTTATATTTCAGAGCAGAAAAAATTGGCACCTAAGCAGCTAAAATGAAAACATTATGCAAAACAAGGTTTTCCTAGTCAAACCACTCAACGGTATCACATGATACAAAACCATGAAAAGGTATACTGTTAATAGTATAAAATGAGCAAAAAAAAATATATACATAACTCTACACATACCATCTATATTCATATTCAACGAATCAATGATTTTTGCTAAACAGAGCACTTTCAATGATGTAAAGAACTCACTTGAAAAGATCATGAAAGAAATAAGAAAAGAAAGTGCATACACATATCATATGAACTTCTAGGGCAACAACACACCTGGATGACAAAGGAGAAATATATGTACACCTCCAATTGAACGAAGCTGCTGTTCGACCTCTATAGCATGCTCAAGGCAGAAGACATGCATTCTGGAAGAGTCTTCGTCGCATCCTGGAGGAAACGCTGTATTTGTGGTCTCTATGGGTAAAGTGACCTTAGACAATTCTGTTGTTTGAGGCCCATGAGCATCTGTGGAGCAAGAATGTGAAAGCTTCATTGGATCCATAGATGTACCCACCAAACCATTCGTCTTTGTGGAAGCAGAATTATTTTTAAAATCAGCAGAGAAATCAAAATTTTGATAGCTGCTATCCTTGAAATTAGCTATTTTACGTCCATCTCTTGCATAGTGATCAGGGCTTTGGAGAGGAAGTTCATTCCCACAATCAAATCCTGGTGATGGGGGACTGTGAGCCTCAGTTGTACCACCAAAAGAGTCTCTTAAAGGAGAAGGACTAGCACTTTGGTAATCATATCTACTTTCAAAAGAACAGTTTGTCGTGTTCGTTTCATCACAACAAACAGGAACATCTGGTGCAAGTTGATCTTCCTCCGAGTCAGACGAATTTCCATAGTTCAAAGCTAATAGCCCAAGAGCTGAAGTATCTCTCTGCATTTCAGTATTTGAAACGGGTTTATTACTTTGATCTCTCCTCTGAATTTGATAATCAGCAGATTGAACAGGCACATCATATAAACCAGCAGGGGCATTGTTTTCCACCAATCCTGTTTTTGGAGACATAAGTGTATAAACGTTCAAAACTTGAATTCCATTAAGGCAAACTAGAACCTTTATATACAGGAAGCCTTTCCCAGATGTGACAAAGAATGATATGCCGGTCAAATGTATTTAGAAACTCAAACACTGCTCATCTTCAAATATGCATACAAAATAACAGCTTTAGGGATTGCCTAAATAGTCAGATTGAAAAATAAGGCATGTGCAGCCTGATTTGACCTAGGTGTAAATAATGGATGCTTTTTAACAAGAGCCTGTGTATAATAATAAATGTAAGTGGGACATTTCATTCATATGATTGCATAAGCAAAGGGGAAAGCCAGGGCTCACTCTTAATTTTGAACAAACAGAAATTTATAGAAAAGTGCAATTTAATGCTGAGTTTGCCTTAGTTCAGATGCGGCATTTATCCAGGATTCAGTGGAACAGTCATTACAGTACTAATGGTTCCTGATTTAAGTGAACAGGACCATACTGTCAGATCATATCATAAGGCTGACAAACAAGAATAGAAGAATATTTAAGATGGAACCAACAATAGAAGAACATTTCCAGATGGAACCAACCTGTGCAAGGATCATTCTTTGAAGTGATCGGATCTTCATTTGCAACCTGGAACACCTCACCAGCTAATCCAGATCCAACAACCCAATCACTG